GTGGGGGGAATAAGGGGAGGAAATGCAGCTCAGTTATAATCTTTCTCATTATCACCATTAAGTATCTTGTTTTACCACCTCAGCACAAAAAAAAAATCAATTATCATAGAGGGTTGTTTCAGAGTAAAACATTTTATCATTAGCCAATTAGAAAGAACATAAAAAAATTTCAAGGTCGCCATTTTGCCTTTTTATTTCAAAGGTCTATAGTAAATTATTTTATTTTAGACAAGCAATCATTCATAAGTTTCCTACCTGCTTTGTCATAATCTCCAAGCAGCTCATATTTCTCAAATATATCTTGTCTGGCTTGGACCACTTTTGACCCTCCCAGCCATTTTGTCATGTTCTGAAGTAAAAAATGATGTATAAGCTCTTTCCGAACCTTCTTGGTAGCTCCTAGCAACTCAATTGGTATGTTTGCAGCTAAATAGGGAAAGCTGGCATCAAACTTGATAAATTTGTCTCTGATTTCACTAATAACTTTGTGGCCATCTGCAGCAGGAACTCTTCCATACAGTGTTACAAAACTGGCTTCAAACATTACAGAGCAGCAGAATTTGTACATTTTTTCTGTTTCCCAATCTGTTGCTTGTGAGCATTTCCATTCAAATATATCCTGGAGATTTTTCATCATGTGGTCAGAAATTATATCCAACGGCTTGCCTTGTAGATACTGGTAGATTCTGTGCAGGTTTTCCTTGAGATCAGGGAATTTTCCTTTTGACAAGGCTGGATAGTCAAAAGTTTTGGAAGCCATTTTATCAGCAAATTCATGAAATTCAAGTTGCTTGCTATTTCGGATGACATAGACATATTGAAATGGGTCCATGATAAAAGTAATATATCTACCTGAATAGAAAAAAAGAAAAAAATAGAGACGTGTGCTTTTAAAATCTGGTGACACTTTCAAGAAGTAATAACTAAAAATAAGCCAATGTCTGGAAAAAAAGAATGCAGAAATTCCCCAAAGCAAAGATCTGTGAAGATATCTGCAAAGAAGAAAATAACAAAAAAATCCCAAAGAAACCAACAAACAAAAGAAGGAAGATGTAGCAAGTTTCATTCAGATTCTCTTTGTCAGGATGCAGATTCCACCTGTGTACACTTTCATGGCTCTTTTAAAATCAGTGTGAAGCCATTTCCATGTAGACTGATCTACTTTGGTTTTGCCAAAAGTGATTTCTGCTGTTTTTGTATTCTGAAATAAACCATCTACTACTCTGGTGTAATTCATGAAAATACAATGTACAGTTGCAGCAGCATTAGAAAATTACAGGGATTTTTTACCAGCAGGAAGGGAGAGACACACACATTTCACCTGCATGGAGGAAAATGAACAATGGGGGCTAGAATGGAAAACATATCACCTAGGCAGCTTTCCTTCAAGCAGATGACACAGAAAAGAAGAATCTGATGGTTATGGCTTTAACTGAACACTGCAACCCCCTCAACATTTAAAGCCTCTCTTACATCTGTTTTTTTCGTGAAGTTTTGCTAACTTTTTGTTGAGAATGTGCTTAGTATCTGTCAAATCACTACCTTAGGGCTTGATTTTGAAGCCACAGATTACACTGGAGCAGGCTACCATTTTTAACATGGATGCCATTTTGGGGTACAACTGTCCTAGTGCTATCATCCATTAAGAGCACACCAAGAACCTTCTACCCTTCCTGAGGTTCTTAGTGAGGTGACACAGCCATACCTTAGGCTGCTTGTACAGACAGACAGGATTGCATCGTTTGACACCTTTTCAAGTTGCCCCTGACAGAGAAATCCTGCAATTTCTCCCTAAACTTTAAGTCAGCTACTAAAGAAAAGCATTTTGGTGAACGACTATGAATCAATATGCTAACAACACTCGCAAAACCCAATTAAATCTTAACCCTTTATACATGATTCCTATGTTAAGCCTAAATCTAGAATTCCTGATTCTTAACTTGAATAGGGAGATGCCTTAGGGAAAAAGGGTACCCAATCCTCTTCAATGTGTACATTAAAATGTACGCATCCTCTGTAAAATATCCCAGTTATAAAATCAGAAACCAGCAAAGCTTTCAGGACTTGCAGTCTAATTCTGTCTCACTAAAGGGACAAATCTCCTTTGATTTTAATGGGAACACTACATGCTTAACGGAGGACCAAATTTGGCTCTGTGACAGATGTCCTGAGATAAAGTAGTCACTACCACTAAAAATGTCAACAAGTATCCATGGTTACCATATACTGATATTTGAATTATTATAGTTATTCTGTATTCTGACTTATATACACTCAGGGCTCTATGGTAAACCTGGGTGCACCACTCTGAATTTCCTCTACAATTACCAGATGCCATAACTTCCATCCCAGTTACATCCACTGCAATCCCCATGAACCAGTAAGGAAACATAAAGGATAAATTGAGACAGAATTTGACACCTTTTTTTTTGTGTCAACAGCAAGTGAAGGTTTTTTAAATTTTTTAATAGAGTTTGCTTTACTGCAACATAATCAATCACTAAGATGTAAATTAATTTTAAAAGAATGGATATATCAAGAAACTGGCATGCAAAAGAGATCCCGAATCCTCAGTCCTCTTATCGGACAATTTTTTCCTTCCCAGACCACTGACATCAATAGGAATTTTTAGTTTCGACCTCTGCAGGATCTTTGTTAAGAGTCCTAGAATTGCTCTATCTTTCCAGCTTTTACCCACTTTCATGCTCTTTATTGAGGCTACCATCTTTGCAATCAAAGCTTGGAAAGAATGCCCATTGGAGCAATTTTTAATAAATAGATTTGGAGTGTTATTAACCCTAAAGATGAAAGCTGGCTTCCTAACTTTGCGTTTACAGGGTAAACAATTTAAGTTAAGATTTTTAATTAATATTAATTTAAACCATCTGTCCACCATCTGCTTATTTCTGATGCAAAATATGAGTTTCTTTGTGATCTTTAATCAGACACTTAGCAAACGCACATCAATTCTTATCATTTTTAAGTAAAAAAATGATTTCCAGCAAATGAGTTTTCAGACAAACAAACAATTTTAGCAATAATTTTAAATCAAAACTCACTCAACACTAGCACATACTTTGAAAAAAAAAAACCAAACCAACCAACAAACCCTCTGAGAAACAGAGTATTACAGATCCTGACTTTTATTATTCTCATCAGGTTCCTGGTAGCAAAAAGTAAGTATGTACCAAAATATGATTCATTTTGTAGAATCAATTCAGGCTCCAAACCACATCACTACAAGTAAACAATATATATAAACACATAAACCCAAATACTTTTGTTACTGCAGTTAGTAAAGGTCTATGTAGTCAGAAAAGTAGAACCCCCCTGTAACAAAGGCAGCTTGTTTACGTACCTCACCAAGAATCTAATTTTAGATCTCTTAATTAGAAAAAAAGACTAAAATCTAGGGCTAATTAACGGCAGTTAGAAAGTTGTTGTTGTGAGAATGGGTATGGGAGCCTTTAGCAATTACAGTCATACTCGCACACAGATGCACTACACGGCTACACCGATTACCCCAGTCTCTTCCACACAGGAACAGATTGCTAATTACAAAACTGTGCCCCAACACCTCCTCTACCCTGAGCAGCAAACATCCGAACTGGAACAAACTTTCTCACCTCAAGTTATGATTTTAAATTTTGTATGTGTCAATATGGTCCTTGATTTTGCTTTTTAAATCCTGTCGCCCCCGATGAGGTCTCTTCCCACTGATTGTCCCTGGCGGTGTCAGAGACCAACAAATGTAAATTTTTCCTAAAGTTTCCAGTTATTATCTAGTATTTTAAAATGCAGCTTCCCCCCTCCCATGACTTTCCAGTGCAGCTAATGCCAAGAACTCTCTCTGACAAGTAGCCTTTTCTGAAACTGAACCAAAATCTTGATGCTCATGAATTTCCATCTGAGTAGTGGTAAAGGTAAATGCCAGATCAGCCAAAAGCGGAGGCACACCAATGCTCCACAAATCAGGAAGACTTGAATATTGAAGGGATTTATATAGAAACCACTGGGACCAAGCCTTTCCTTGTAAGACTGTAAAAAAATACTTCAACACAAAAGCTAAGTAGACTTGTCCATAACAGAAATGTCACACTCCAGTTCCCGATAGTTTAAGTCACTGAGCTATTTTATTTAGTACTATAGAAGGAAGCAAAGATAAGAAATGTATCCTTGTTTCTGTAAAAAGCCTTCTGATTTTTTTTTTAAATTTTTTTTTTTTAACATGGCTACAGAGAATTCGTACTTCCCCATCCAATCCTTCAGTCTGCATTACATCCATGCTGCAAATAGCTTGGTTATCTCCATTTAGTTTTTACAGTGTCCTAGAAATAGAAGATTGATGTGGAAAATATGAAAATTGTCAACTTTGGTAAATCCAAGCACAGAAGCCAGTATTTGTATGATAGTTAAGAAATTACTCTAATAATGCATTCTGGAGCTTTTTAATGCTAATGATAAAAGACAAGCATTTCAGATGGCATTTAATGATGGATATTATCTCAGTAATGCTTGCAGCGGGCTTCAGCTTGGTAAGGAGTTAATGTAAACTACCTTTTGCTTAAGAGAGAAAAATGTGGCACATTACTGTAGGTGTATCATGATTTAAAAGAAAAGAATGACTTAGCAGCAGCATTTGAAAAGGCAAGTGTGCTTAGTAGAAAACCCTTATGTTATTAAAAGTTGAGTTAGTCTCAGAGAAAGTGTTGTAAGGTACAATATCATTCCTAATAACATGTCAGGAAAAGGAGACAAAGTTTAATCCCAAGAAACAATGACAAAACTGTTTCAAGTTCTTACCTAGCCGTCTGCCTATGCTGCTGACCCTCAACAAGCAGAGAGGTTGGCTTGGGAAGTATATCATCTCAACACACAGACTCTCTCTCTCCCCCCTCCTTATTCTTTTCTTCTTTTTTTTTTTTTTTTTTTTAAATACTGTTGCATTTACGTAATCATCCTCTTATTAGGGAGATTCTGCTGAACTGCTGACAATGATGTACAGTGGTGCTTCGCTGGCATGACGTCTGGGGAAAATGATTCTGCTGCACCACCACACAAAACCAATTAGAGAACTATTTTCTGCGACAGGTCAGGAATTTACATTGTTTCTCATAGAAAGATGTGCTTTTTAATTTCTTTATTAAGATGACATCCATGTCCCTTGCGACTTTTAGGGATGACAATCATTCGCTCATCACATGGGAAAGTACAATCAGCAAAATCGCGTTACCGGTACAGGGCAACGCCAGAAACTCCGAGCATCGTTCCGCATTTTCCAAATGAACTAGTTTGAGAACCAATAATTAGAACAATATATATTGATAGAATTTTTTGACAGGACCTTTAGACACCCACCAGGGGGGCAAAGTAATGATAGTACATATACAGCAGGCTATGCTACGTTTGCTGAACATATAAACATCATCTTTCTCTAATCAGTAAGACATATAGAAATCCTGAATGTCTTCAGATGAGGACATGATAGGAGGTACTAACTAGCTTCAGCCTATTCCTTGACTTGTGAATGACAAATTGTTTGTCCTTAGTGAAGTCTTGATGGCCAGTATTTTCATACCGAGAAAAGAGAACTTAAAGTGGTATCTCTGTTATGACAAATTCACAAAATCAAAGATCTTCCTGCATAAGGCTGAAACGATCCCAGAACTCACTCCATTTACTCAGTCTTTATCAAGGAAGGCTTCCTCAAAATACCCAAACACAGGGAGATTAGCTGAAATGGAATTTTGTTGAGCACACAAACAGAAATTTGTTAAACTAGTTTATACTCGTAGATTACTTAAACACACAAAACTCTAAACAGAGTCTTGTATAAAGAAATAAATATTTGATTAAACACAGTAAGGATTCTGAAGTATGACTGTATCTGGCTCTATGAATGTAATAAGGTAGTCTCTGAATTACAACTATTAATCTGTATTCGTAAGAAGCCACAACTGTATATAGTGTGAATGTACATTAACAATAAAAAAGACTATATTTCAACAAAAAGTGGTCTTGTAATGTATCAAAGTCACTTTCAAGATGGAAAAAAACCCTAAGTGTACCAGTTTCCAAAGAAAAAGCCCTGAATGAATAAAAAAATCACACATGTAATAGAAGTAAAAATGCTCTTCCAAAAGAAAAAAAGAGAACAGATTTGGTAAAAGGAAGAAAAATTTTATTAACTAAACATATGGCTTGCAATTTAATTAATTGACTTTCAAAGAAAAATATTATTTTTATTGAAAAATATTACTTGTATCGAAATACAAAGCTAATATGAATGCAATTTCAAGCAACTGCATGAAATTACAAAGCACACTTTACATTTTTATTCGAAACTCCCTAAAAACACAGGAACAGCTAAAACTGAGATAGACTTAACTCTAAAGTTGATCATCTGAACAAGTGTATCAGCACATAAAGGGGAAAAAGATCCATTACGTGCACCTACACTAATAAGAGTTTGCCTTTTTCTGAATAGAAGAAAATAAAGAGGTTTAAATTGATTTTAGTTAAAAATACATCTGTGTATGTATATATGTAAATTTATATATATTAAGGTTTCATTCAAAATTCCAGTCTCATTCTATGCTTTTCTTCTACAGCTAAATGTCTACGTGAAATCACTCAAATGTTTGTATTCAAGCTAGTGTAGTAATACAGCTATAAATACAGAAAGCAGCAAGGTTATATCATACTTTATTATATAGTTATTTTCAGTGAGCATGATCAGAGTAAAAGGCTGGCAACGGGAAGTTTCTGTGTTCCAGTCCTGATTGTATCACTGAGTCAATGTGTCATTCATTCCCTTGTGTTCCTGTCAACCAGTTGTAAAATGTGTGAGAACATATTCTGCACTTTTTTTCTTAAGTGTTTTCTAAATTTAATCTGATATTTTTCTGTGCAGTGTCAAGATGATGGTAGTTCTCCCTTCTTTAGGAAAAAAATCCCAAAACAATACACAATTAAATGTGCTGGCAAAAGCTATGCTCATAAATTACATGCCTACAAATTCTGTCAATATGCATATACACCTATAGCTGTACATAAATCCACATGCTCATAATTATATCCTATGGATAATTATTATGCATACAATACATGTGAATTTAAGTAATTTTTATTGGCCTATGCTACACAAAAATGCTTTTGGTTAAAGAAGATTCTAAACTAGCCATCTGAATTAGTACTTAACTTCACTGATGGAAAAAATAAAAGAGAAATACTAAAATATTTCTCACCAGCAATATGTACAGTGAAAATATCTCCAAGTTTCTTTTGCTGATCCAGTAAGAATTTGAAAGCATCTTTTCTAAAAATCAGAGCCTTCCCAAGGTAAGGAATCCAGCCATTTATTAGCGGGGGCTCTCCAGACTTCCTGTTAAAAACAGAAAAAAAAGGATCAGGAATTAACTTTGGCATGAGAGCAACTCATCTTTATATCTATTTATATATTACACTTAAAGCCACCATTTACATATATAATTCTTGCAATGTATAATATGTTGTACAGAAAGTTCTTCAGATATGATGGCAGGTTAAATCTAATCACACCTCTGAGCGCAGAAGGCTCTGTGTGGTGATTAGGAAAAATAAGTGAGAGAAATTGAGATGCATTTAACTACAGGTTGTACAGTTATGACCATCAAGTTATGAACACAGAAAAATGACATTTGGTAGAAAATCTCCCAGTAAAGAGTCATCTTATTTTCAATATTTGGTGTGTCAGAGGAAGATGTATTGGAAGGCAATTATGACAGAAATAGGACAGAAACAGGATGCTGAAAAACCACACAAAACAACTAGTCTTACAGATAACATTTTAATAATTTCAGTTTACCAGCACACAGAACAGCTCCCATTCTAACTAAATAGCTTCAAAATATAGAATAATAATAGAGGCTGAATGTTTACCATAATAAATCTTAGTCTCCATATATTTATAGTCTCCTAAGGTAGAAATGTGTATGAACAGTTAAAGATTAAATTCTAGATGATGATATTTGCATCCCAGTCTAAAAAAGCAGCCATGGTGTCTTGGTTATGTTTATGGAATAGTGAAAAACACCTTTCCAGAATCTAGTATTTTTTTTCTTTAAAAAGGAATAAAGGTTCCCACACTGTCCTGTTCCTGCCTGCAAGTAAATGTCTTTCCTTCATGCTGGTCTTTAGTTGCTTTAATCTGATTTACAACAAAGAAACATAAAGCATGCTTGCTCCGGAAAGGATTAAAACAAATATTCGCGAACAACTCTGCTGCTACATCCCATCTGTGAAGGTGACTTATACTACATGCAGAACAACTCATTCTGATTAAACACAAGATATTTACTAGCTTGGATCTAATCAAAGATCAAGGGATCACCAGCTTTACTACTATCATACACAGCATGGATTTTTATGTAGCTGGATTAACCCTATCATAGTCACATTCTCCCTTGAACTGCTGCAACAGAAATGAAAAAAAAGTAAACATGATATGCTGTATTTGCATTTTATATTTTCCTTATTAAAACTTTCTGAACAAGAAATTAAAAGCCTAGGAGTTGCTCTCTTATTTTAAAAAGTTGCTATAAATTTAATTTACAGACAAACAGATGTGGGCAAACCAAGCTTAATTTAACTTACTACTTATCTCTTAATTTAACTTACTACTTACTCTGAATGTTAGTTTTCAAGAGCATCTTTTTGTCCTCCGTAAAACCAGTAAAACTTCTGGTCCAAACCCCACAGTCTCACAGTTGACATGTTTATCCTTGCTTTTTTGTTTCTTTGGGTTTTGTGGCTTTGGGGTTTTGTTTGGTTTATGGTAGGTTTTTTTAATTGTGGAGAAGGTGGAGCCCCTTTTTTACAATACCTCCCATAAACCACTGCATTATCCATCCTCTAGTGGTCAAATAACATTATTTACTCCAGTGGTCCAAAAAACTTTGTGATGGTTAATTCTGTATTAACTGAATATAAGAAAAGAACTAATCTGAGATTACATGAGAAGGATCACCAGCCCTGGAAGCATAACAGCCAACTTGATACCCTCAATTATCCCCTCCAAGCCCATAAGGAATCTGGATGATTTGCCCATATTTCCTCCCCCTCACCGCCAGACTATTAAATCCTGAGAGTGGCCACCTTTCACTTCTCAGGCTGGACACTACGCCCTGTAAATAGTATCCTGACAAATACTTAGATGGTCTTTTTGTCATCTTCTAATTGAATGCATCTAATTTCTCCCTCTACGTTCTGTCATTCGGTCAGAAGCTGTATTCTTCACAAGCTCTCCATCGGGTAAAAAGAGGGCAGCTCAGAAATCCAGGGGTAAATTAACTTAATGCTCCAAGTCTGTGGAATCACATCAGGGAGACATTTTGCTATCGCAAAGACGTGAGGGTCATCGTTCGCTTCAAACATGTTTAGCTCAGCAGCAATAAGCTTAACACTGTTAAACACTGTGTCAAGGCTATGCGGCTTTCAGAGGAAAATATAACACCAGTTCAACTTACGACCCACAGCAGACTGATAACAGAAATGTATCTTCATTTCTAGCTTTCCTTCTCTTTGGAAGATGGAGGTCATCTCCATGACTTATTGATGTCTGCTAATACAAAGCGAAGAAAAGAGCACCACGTATATTTTAGTGCCTCCCAAAATACAATGCTTTGCTGCACAAACTTTTAAGCAGCACAGTGCAGCTGACCCTGGTTTCCTGAAGGACTCTAACCTGCATCTCGGATGCCTCCAGAAGTTCTCATCAGCTTCAGAGGCTACACTGAACCATTAACAAAGCTCACAGAAACTTTTACTAGTTAATCAATTTGTTTGTGAACTTCAACTCTGGACTCACACTTCACAGCTATTGTAAGATTTGACAATTAGCAAAATATTGAAAATATTAGTTACATTTTTCTCATGACACAACATATATTGTTGCACCAAATGCAAAATACAGCTAAGAAATATAAAAGAGCAAAATTAAGTGTTTTGATGGCAATTTAAGATTGCAACTTTTTTAATCTAAAGCATTCAGAATCTCCTCCCAGGTTACGTTTCATTCATAACTCGTTTAACTGCTTAAATTTTAATTCACTTAACATACCTCATAATATTCCCAGGTCTTTTTGCTCCATGTTCCTATGCTTTTTATGGATTGGGCTGGTTTTGCTTGCACACAGGAATATGTTTAGCTATCTGAGAAGCCACTGTGAAGTCAGTAAGACTTAATGGACAAATTTCTCACATATGTAAGTGAATTTTACAAATAAAGCATCAGCAACATGTCCAATACAATCTATTAGTAGACAGATCAGTTACAAAGTGGAGGGAAAGCAACACGTTTGTATCATCCATCATTGTTAAATGAATAATTTCAAATGGCATTATGCAAAAATCAGCTGGCTACAAATACAGCCCATAAATAGGATGAACAGATTTTGATACCTAATTTTTCTTTGCTTTCACAGTGAAAAGATGCTTTCTTGCTAGCAATGTCTGCTCTATCAAAGGAGCAAAGTTTTGGAATTTGTTTGCATAGGTGAGATTTTTTACCTAACCCAAAACACAGAAGTCACTGACTCAGGTGTGATTATTTAGCTCCTGAGGTAAGGTGGTATTAAAAAATGTGGATGTTGTACTTATGTCTCACTTATAGCAGCAGTAATGCAATAAAGCATTGCAACATAAATTGCAAAGGTCTGCAACATAAATTATGTGAAAAAGTAGATTCAAAAATATATATTTTTAAAAAATTCTAAGTCTTCAAATATTGTGCTTTCAATTACTGAAAGGAAATTATTTGGGAAACACAAATAAGGTCACTTGTTAAGCTCTCTGCCCATTAACTTTTTTTTTTAATTGTAAAGAAAATACTCTAAAGATTCACAAGCAAACAGCATTATCTCTCACAGAAATATTACTCCTTTGTAAAAGCAAGTAAGACTATTCTTTTGTTGGTTACACCATTTCAACATCACTTCAGTGTAAGGCATTAGATCAGTGTAAATGAGAAGAGAATCCTTCTCATTTCACTGGTTATTTGTATTCCAAGGGAGCAGATGCCTTCCAAATTATTCAAAAATCCACAGCGCATCTTGTACTATAGCAGATGAACAGGTTAATTTTTCTCTTTGCACATAATAAATCATAAGTGCTTTAACACCCATAGTCGCATTTCATGAACATAAACCTTCTGTTTAATAATGTCTGTTTACAACTAGAATCAGACATACAGTAATCTCTTGCTTGGGATAAACATTAATCCAGATCTGTCTAGAAAAATTATACAATTCATTACCATAAGTAATCTCTATTGTGCCCTGTGCTTAACCTTCATCTTTTTTCCTGTCCTATAATCTCGCAAATCCACTGGTGGTATATGATTGGCATCTGGTGTTAACGCAGCCTTCACTGCACAGTGCAGCTGAAAAAGCCCCACATGAACACGTCACTCTGCAGGGTACCACCGGTTCAACTGACCGCTTCTCAGAAACTTTCATCAAAGGGTGAAAAAAACCTGCAAGCCAGGGAGAAAAAGGTCTAACAATAACGCCATGTGCCAAAAAGGGGTAATTTTCAATGCCAAGTCGTTGTTACCCTCCACAAAAATTAAAGGTAACGGTCTGATTTTCCCATAACATCTCTGGTCAAACCATCGCATATCATGTCCAAGCTGGAACACACCGTGCCAGGGGACTTTAAGGAATGGAAATGGATGGGTACAGAAGTAGAACAAAAGCTATTATGAACATGTCAAAGCAGTTTGAGATTATTCACAGGCCGATCACAATATTTAAGCAACAAGACATGACAGACAGTGTCTTTCCAGGGGCTTATGAACACTCTAACTGTGAGGAAAAGAATGAGGCCAAAGGCTTCAACCCCAACAAAGGTAATCCCCAGAAATGTGGTGTCTGGAGTGTCTTCTTGTATTATGAGAGAGACAACACAGGAAAGTTAGGACAGGAGAAAGGCAGTAAGTCTATCTTACTATGTTCTTTTAGCTCAGCAGTTACAGTTTTCCCCCAGACCTGCTCACAGCATTAGGTGTTTTGTATCTATGAGGACAGAAAAAAAATATTATCTTCAAAATATTTATCCACAACACAATTTTTCAATACTTATAAAATTATGCATGCCGTAAATGCCCCATCCAGATTATCTGCCTCAGTGACTTCCTGGAACTCCAAATTTTACAGGCTGAATACATGCATTATGAAAATTATTCCCTGCAGAACAAGCCAGATGAGAGTTTTAGCAATATACAGTCTTCTACCTTTGAATTCTCAGCTCACATACCCCCTGCAGAGGTAAGGAGCAGATGCTGCTCCTATCTTATCATTATTTGGGAGCTTATGCGGAGTAAATGGATGCATCAGGCCAAGTCTT